CATCAACATTGTTATTTCATGATTTCACAGATTTGTCGAGGGTTTATCCACTAAGACTTGAAAGCAAAGCAAGACTCCTGCAGAAGGTAGCTTATTAAACACAGTGGTGGTTTGAGAAGCATTGCAGGTGTAAAATGGTAAGAAGCAGCAATATAATTGGTAAAAAACCTAGCCTGTTCAAGAAATATTTGAAGAAAACTGGCCCTATAGTCATCACTGTTTCAAGTACCCACTGTAGTTTCCCTTCCCTGCTATTTGTTTCAACTGGATATACAGTAGGTACTTTTGACTCTGAACTAATCTCTTCCCTCCTATCCCTCACTCCCATTTCTGTCCTTTGAGTAATTCATGAAAGTTAGTCTCCAAAATAGCATGCTGTTGCAGTTTAACCCCAGGCAGCAGCTCAGCCCCACACAGCCACTCACTCACTCCTCCCAGTGATTTGGGGGAGAGAATCAGAAGGGGGAAAGCAAGAAAACTCATGGGTTGAAATAAAGACAGTTTAATAACCAGCTGCACCTGCAAGCAAAGCAGAACAAGGAATTCATACACTGCTTCCCATGGGCAGGAAGGTGTTCAGCCATCTCCAGGGAAGCAGTGCTCCAACACATAGAGGTGACTTAGGAAGACAAACTCCATCACTCCAAATGTCCTCCCTTCCTTTTTCTTCCTCCATCTTTATATGGTGAGCATGACAACAAATGGTCTGCAATATCCCTGTGGTCAGGTGGGGTCAGCTGTCCCAGATGTGTCCCCTCCAAAGCTCTTGTGCACCACCAGCCCCCTTGCTGCTGAGGTGGGGTGAGGAGCAGAAAAGGCTTTGGCTCTGTGTGAGCACTGCTCAGCAACAATGAAAGCAGCTCTATTATCAGCACTGTTATCAGCATAAACCCAAAACACAGCCCCACACCAGCTACTGTGAAGAATGATTCCTAATACCAGTGGGTTCATTCCAGCAGCTCTCAGCACTCAGTAGGCCAAACCAAATGAAACATGTATGATCACATACTCTGAGCACACAGTTTTACTGAGCTTGTGTGTCAATCTCTGCTTTTAGCAGCAGTAATATGAAGTCAGAGTAGTTCCAGTAACCTAGTAAATGCATGGAACTATTACAAACTTGCACTACATTACCTCAGAGTAGGAACTGAGGCAGGAAATAAGTAAAAACATACTTTGCTACAATAGTACTCAGACTCATACTACTGCTAATAGCTAAACAGAGCTGTTCTGCTAAACCAGTGCCAATCCACTTTGGAAAATAAAAGCAGAAAAAAGGCAAATTAATAAAATGCTTTTTACTATGACTGCTCAACAGTACTACTGTTTCCCCTTCTTGTGTTTTCTTAAGTTTCCCAGGAGCAATGCTACTGGGAAAAAAACCAAAAAAGCCCAAAGATAGGATTCTGTCTAGATCTGGATTAATTCCAGCAGAAAACACTACATACCAGTCCAGACATAAAGCACCAGCAACACTGTTAAGTTTTGTGATAATGAAGGTTAACACATTTATGGAGCAGTCAACAGAATACATGATGTAAATCAGGAAAAGCAATAGCCACTCATGAATAGTGGTAATTGGGATACAGCACTCTGAGAGCCAATCAAACAGCACAGGAGAGGTATGGCTTTCATGTGAGTAATTTATTCTTTCATCACTTTAAATTTTACCAGGTATTGATTTACAAAGAAACTTTCTGTGGATAGAATTTACATCAGCAACTGCACATTTTTAGCCATTACTAGGGTAAGACTAACATCCTCCCCATGTTGCTTAACAGTGCCAGTTTTGATCAAAGAGCATTATTCTTTTGCCAATTACTTTTTTGACTTAGTTTCAAGTGTAAACAGAATCTGTACACATGCTTTTGCTGCAATTAAGATCTCTATTTTACAGAACCAGTTAGTAGATAGAAACAGTACAGTTTCATCTGTTAGTCACATTTCTTTATTGAAATGGAGATTTAGTTTTAGGTCCAATGAAGGGTTTAGGCATTTCATTGTTAGGTACTGCAATGCCTCCTTACTAACATGGTACCCCTGAGAAGAATCCAAATCACCTGTCTGGCTGCCCAGTACAGCATAGAGAGGAGCTCACCTCAGACTGGTAACCCCAAAACACAGAGCCTGTCTGCAAAAGCTTTCCAAAGAAAACACATCTGATTGTATCAACTCATACAAGATCCATGCTGAATTACCCATCCAGGAGGTGGGGCCTGGAATCTACTCAGAACTCAATGTACAGGAGCCTGTGTGTGAGAGCTTTTGGAGGATTTGCATGAGGCTCACCCCTGAGGAAGAGCCACAGGATGTGGTTCCATGTTCCTCTTCTGAGCAGCCATCGAGGTTTGAGAACACACACACATGAACTGCAAGGCCCCAGTTCAGTCCTACTAAGCTTATGGGAATTCAAGCCTAAATTCCCTTGCAGACAACCTTGAAAACAGGAGTAGTCTAGGGAGGAAAAATTACTCCCTGAAAAATTAGGGCAACCATCTCCTGCATGTCCCATTAAAATGGGAGGACTGTAAGATTCAGGGGCAAGAATGACAGCAGGGCAGACTATGTCTGTCTAGCTGGTCTCAGATCACTCTGTGAGGATGACTACCTTGCCTAACTCCAAGAGTTCCTGTAGTCCATTGACAACCAGAGGGTGGGAGATGTGGACTGAATGCTTGGAGGCTAAGAAAGCACACATAGATCTCCATGTTCCTATGCAAACACACATGCAAACACAACTTGGGGGTTGCCTGGCCTTTTGGTTTGTACCTAAATTAAACCCTATTACATCAGTGGTTTCTGGGTATCCCACTTGGTAGGCAGGTGTGGAACTGCTCTGAGCAGTTCCAAATGGGTGGAGGGGAACTGCTCAGCAGCTCCACATGTCAAACAGACAGTTGTGCCGGGTTTAAGTAAAACTAGAGGGTTCTGGAATGACAATTTCAGTCTTTAAATGCCTGAAGACTATCTAAGTTATGGTTTTAGTACCCAAGTTTGGGGGCAGGCGGAAGGAGGTTTCTTTGTGAAGATAGAACTGGGGGAGAAAACAATTCTCAGCAAACCTGGGGGAAAAAAAATTCTCAGCAAACCTGCCTCAGGCCTACCAGGGAGGAAACAGAGGCCACAGGGAAGGAAATCTGGCTAGAAACATGCCTCTGTTGTTAATCATCAGGCTGTGACTACGCAGTGTACAAAGGAAACAGATTTGATAGACAGCTACTAATGAAGCCCAGACTCTCCCCACTGACACCGTGTACACAGTGAAAGCAGGTAAGCACTTGATTCAACTTTTTTAAAAAATAGGAGCTAGCAAAAACACAAACCACTTCAGGTTTCTTGAACACTTATTACTGTAGAAATGTATTTCTTCATAGTGTACAGCAATTAATATTGGAAGAAAGGATATGGTTCATTCTATCCCAAAAGTTTGTGGATTACTGTCACATCTTAAACCATGGAAACTTCCCAAAACTCATTTAGAAGCATTTTCATGGATTAGCAGAATGAAAATGCTTAATTAACAGGAATGCAAAACCTGGCTTGATACCTCACTACACTGTAGTATAAGAACTATACTACATAAGTCTTTGAACTATGAAATTGCCTTGTATTGCAAGATAAAACAGACGTTTCCTTGTGTTCCTGGTGATGCTACTATTTCAAAATCTGGCCTAGCACTAACATCTCTAGTTTAAGTATGCATCTAAGCCTTGCATTACACAGCTTGAAATACTTTCTACAGTTAACATAAAAATTATGCTGAAAGCAAACATGTAATTTTTCTTTCCTGCTCAAACTACAACGCTGTAATTTAATCTAGAGTCAATATTTCCAAGGATGCTCATCTGAGAATTAAATCAAATATTCTGTGAAGGATGTTAAATTCCACTGCACCAACCTGTACTGAGGCTAAGATAAATGTCACACTCTGCAGGCCTACAGCTCCTGCCTGGCTGATGCTTTAATTAGCTCACTAGGGAACAGGCTCACTTGGCTAAGAACCTTTAGGACCGGACCCCTGTTTTCTATAGAATGACTAACCAGATCAGCTGCATTAAAACCCTGTGCGACAGCAATGAGAAGAGAAAAAAAAAAAACCAAACAAAAAAAAAACCAAACCAAAACAAAAAAGACAAACAATAAAGAGAAAGAAAGAAGTATCTATGAAGTTCACTATTCTCTTTTGTACAGATGGTGTTTCATAGGACAGAGCCTGCTGCCTTCCTTTGGAACTAGCAATTATGTGTAAGAATGCTAAAGTCCTGTTTAACAAAAACATCTTAATAAAACATAAAAATATCTGCTTTTTTTGATGCAAGGTCCCTATGTCTTTCTAGAATATGAATCTATACTAGAGCTTCGAGTATAAACAATTCTCTTCCACAGTCCATGCGAGTTCCATGCTGAATGTTCAGCATTGCACCAGCAAAAACACAGGTTCTTTTTTCAGAAAAGGTTTCTCAGTGATTTACCGTAAAGCTAAAACATTTGCCTTGCCTACTGATTTTTTTAAAATATAAAATGTATAAAATAAATGCATGTGCCCTTTTCAATATAGTCTGTCTGTGTAGACATTTCATGTTTTCCAGTTCTGAGTAACATGACAAAAAGTGTGCTCCAACTTTCCACGGACAGGAAGAAGTTTTGCATGGTTTTGCCTCATTTGGATGCTGCCCCACAAACAGCACTCTTGGGCAGTTTAGAATCACAATGACAGCATATGCCATCAGCATGTACTGCAATTAACAAGGACTTATTGATTACAGCAATCATTAGTTCAAAATAAATAAAGCAGTCTCTCAAAAGACAGGGAAGTAACATCATGCTAGTGCACAATATAGTATGTGTAGCACATTCCTATTTTCCGTGTCCCCTTTTGATGGTCTTGAAAATAAGTGGGAAAGGCCTTTTGCCACAGGTTGGTTTAGGTTAACCTTCCTTGACCTGCAGTTAATTAAAGAGCATATGAAGTACAAAGTTTTTCCCCAGCTCTAGGTCATGTCAATTGGTTGCAATTTGAACAGCTTCAGTTCATTTCTAATTCAAAATCTCTGATCAAGAAAAGTAATAAAACAGTATCTTTTCATACAGAAAACATTGCCTTTTTCAATTAAAGAACATATCAACATTTCATATCTACCATAAAATGCCACATTATAGAATGGTAACTTGACTTTTTTTTTCTTTTTTCTTAGCATTCCACGTAAAACATGTGGCTCACATTTGTGTTACTTAAAACATTAGTTTGATATCTCATCAACCTCATCTGTGGTTGAAATTCCTGGGACTAATACAGTGCCACAACTTCCTTAAACCATCTATTGCACCAGAAATGAAAGGCTGTGATGGAGATGTTCTTCCTATACTTTTTAAACACAGGAAATAGTTGGTTTAATGCAGCTAAACTATGTTGCCAGCAATGTTTATCCCTCAGTATCATCCCAGAGGGGAAAAAAACCACAAATGACAGAAAAGGCTCCAGCCCAGATTGCAACTATGTGTAAACACACAACCAACATTAACGTCCCATTATGACACTGTTGTCAAGACAATTTTAGAAATCCAGGTTTAAAAACGTTTTTCTCAGATTGGGAATTGGCACAAACATAATCCAGAGATTATCCTTTATAGCAGCTTTTACTTTTGTGTGCTTGGCTTTTCACACAAAGCCCAGCAAACATGAGACGAGTTACAGCTGAGTTAAAACCAGCTCAACATCTTGAGAGCAGAGAGGAGGAAAGGGGAAGTCCCTTTTCTCTGCAGACATAACAGAGAAGGTCCCCTGCGTAGATGGGAGTTTGTGGATCTGCAGCCCAGCTCCCCTCTCAGGAGGCCAGAGCCAGGCTGGCCACCTTACAGTGGGAGGGAGCCCTCCTGGTCCCCCGTTTTGTCCAGCCTCTCAGGCAGGGTAAGCACGAAGGGTAGGAGGACACCCTTGGCATCCAAGGGAGCTTTAAGAAGCTCCCCATCAAAGGTGCCCTTGAGCCCACCATCTGCTTCCACCTCGCCGTCCTGGGCTAGGCTGAAGCGGAGGGTGCCGGTCCGGTTGACGCAGTAGATGGTGTTGCCCAAGGGGGCGCAGCGGAAGGGCTGCACGGGGCCGCCGCTGGGCCGCAGGCTGGCGCACTGGCTCCAGCACTTGGCCACCGTGTTGTACCGGAAAACCTCGACGCCGCCGCCCGTGCCTGGGCCCTGCTCCCCGCCGCGGCCGCTGCTCACATCAAAGCGGTAGATGAAGCTCTTGAAGGCCACCATGTCAGCAGAGCGCCGCCGGCTGCTGTTGTAAGGGCACTCCTGCCACTCGTCGCGCTTGGGGTCGTATTTGAGCAGGCGGTAGAAGAGGGAGCCTCCTGACACGTAGATCTCCCCGTTGCAAGTGGTGGCCTCGTGGGCCACAGCAAAGGCACCCTTGGGCAGAGGTGCCACGGGGCTCCAGCGGTCGGCCCGCGGGTCATACCTTTCCACGGTGAAGAGGCACTCGCCCCCCACAGCATAGAGGTAACCATCCAGGGCCAGCAGCTTGAGCTGTGAGCGGGGCTGAGCCAGCGGCCGCACCTGGCTCCAGGTGTCAGTCAGGGGGTTGTAGCAGAAGACCTTGTCGGAAAGGCGGGCCCTGGGCTCAGTGCCCACCGGCCCCGTCACGATGCCCCCCGCAAGGAAGAGGTAGTTGTGGAGGACACACATGGCACAGCCCTTGGCGTTGGCCTCCTCGGGCAGGCGGGTCAGCACCCTCCACTCACCGCTGCCCTCCTGGTAGTAGTGAATGAGGGAGCCGCTCTCCTCCAGCGACACCACGGAGGAGGGACTCTGCGGTCGACTGCTCTCGCGGCTCTGTGGCCGGCTGCCGCCACCTGGCCGCTCGAAGGCGTCGCTGACCTCGGCCACCAGCAAGCAGGGCCGGCCGGCGTCCATGCGCTGCTGCAGGATGAGGTCCCGCTCAGCGCCGCTGAGGCGCCCGTAAACGCTGGGCTCCCGCAGCACCTCCAGGTAATGGTCGCTCATGAAGCGATAGGCAGCCTCCCGCAGCTCGGCCAGCCGCTGCTTCTTGGCCAGGCAGAGGAGCTGGTAGCAGTTGCCGAGGCAGAGCTGGGCGCGCATGGCCTCGGCGGCACAGTGCAGGGCACAGGGCATCTGCAGGACGCGGGCGCCGCTCACTACCTCGGCCAGATTGTCGTGCCGCACCTCGCCCATGCGGGCCGTGTACACGTAGTCGATGAGCAGCCGCAGCGCCCCGTAGCTCACCCCCTTCACCCGCAGGACGTCCCGTGAGGCGCGGGCACGAAAATAGTCACTCTTGGCCGCCAGCACCGACTTGTGCGCCCGAATACGGCGGCCCGACACCTCGATCACCAGGTCGGGCTCCTCCGGCGGCCGGTCCCGCGGCCCCACCACCTCCTCATCCTCCTCCTCCGGCTGGCAGGCGGCGTTATTAATCTCCCACTGGTTCTGCACCACTCTGCCGCCGGCCGCGGGCGGCTGCGGCTCGGCGGCGGCGGCGCTGAAGCAGAGGGAGGAGCTGAAGCCGCAGGGGGCGGCCGGCGTGGGCGGCGGCGGCGGCGGGGGAGCCCCGTTCGCGGCCCCGCTCTCCTCCTCCTCCGGGGCCGCGCCGCTGCCCTCCATGGAGCCGCGCTACCTGCGCCGGCGCCGCGCCTGGTCCGTGCGGAGCGCGGCCATCACCTGCGGGACAGACCCAACAGCGCTCAGCATCCGCCCCTTCCTCGCTCCCCCCGGCTTCTCCCCCCACACCTCCCGCCTCCAGGATTAGTATTCGAGGCCCCCGCTCTCGCAGGCGGGGCCGCCTCTGGTTTCCGGGACTAAGCCGCCGCTTCTCCTTTTCCTAGGGGATCCACCCTGCGTCTCGGCCGCCTCCCGCGTCAACTGCGCCAGCTCACCCCCAAAACCCTGTGCTCTGTCGGTGGGATCGCCCCGATGAGCATCTCAACAGCCTGAAAAGCAGTTCTGGTTTTCCCGTTGCTCTGCAGAAATGTTAAGCAGTCTGCAGCACTGCAATCCTTTTCACGACAACTGGTCCCTACACTGCGCTGGGTGATGAGCAAAAGTCTCCTTTAACGGCAGACGCTTGGGAGTACTATCACAATGTATTCACCTTGTGCAACTGTTTCAGTGGAAGGCTGAGGCCGCAGTCTATTCTGGAAGGCGATTCCCCACTAGCCAAATTTCATTGCCATGACCTTCAGGAAGTTCTCTTCATATCAGTGTTCCTCATGCATTCCCCCTGTTTAAAACAAAAATATTATTATTTTTAAAATCGATAGATTTTCTGTTTAGTTTGAAGTTTGGGAGCATTAAAGTTATGTCTCCCTTAATAATATATCTAGAATATCTTAAAGACACTGTAAGTATGCTAATAATCCTAAGTGTTTATGAAACACATGAAAGTATTTTTTCTGTACTCAGGACAAGAGCAATCTCACATTTGTGTAGCAGCATATGTAGCGGTAAAGCATTAGCAAGGTGTTAATCAGACTTCAAAAAGATCATGTCTTTATTTTAAGATTCTGTTAATAAAAAGCAGAAGCAAGGAAAAAGGAAAAAAAATCACAATAGATAATTAGAACATGAAGTCTCTCATGGGAAAAGGCAGGACCCAGGGAGGGCATGGCTGTAAGTAGGTTAGTCCCTGTCAGCACAATCACCACCCAGTTGTACCTTCATTTCACAAGTATAGTTTTTAGAATTTAATGAACTGCCATTTCTTTGCCTCATGTTTGTTTATGAATTTCCCAGACTTGGAACCAAGCATCAAAACTTGGTTTAAGTTTTGATGAGTGACGCATAAAAATTGTCTGAATGTACTTAATATAATAAAGTAAGTATCTGCAGTCCTGATTCTATTTTTAAGGAGGTTATTAATTTCCATTAAAATCCCCTTTGTCAGTTTTTCCACAGTCCTCAAGGAACACTCATTTCTATGTAAAATATGCATTGTGGCTTCCTTTTAGCAGACATGATTCATTTACTCTGTTAAATTAGCATTAGGGAGATTTAACTTTTTAATATTTTTTTTTACTGAAAGCATAATTGGTAAGTGACATTGTCTGGAAATCCCCAACACAGACAGGAAATCTAGAAGCCCATACTTGCAATGCAAACTTTATTTAAATGATAATATCAGTCTTTCTTCATGGTGCTTTATTTTGTGCACTTGCCTGGTAAAGAGCTCTCTACTCCATTTGATCACATTCAGTTAGACTGAAATCAATGCTAAGGTTTGATTTTTGGATATTGGAGACTTTCAGGCCAGAACAACAGCATTTTAAAACTTATTAGAATTTGTAGATTTCACCAACTTTGTATTCCTCATCTGAGTGTTTAAAAATCTGGGACTTAGGAACTTTCTATGACTGTATGAACTTTGGCTAGCTTTAGTGGCAGACTTCCTGCTGTGCAAACCCAAAGTCTGTAGGTCAAGCTTTACTGAGTTTTTTCAGTAAAGTCTTAACTAGACAAAAGGCTTGGCAGTGATGTGTGCACGCTCAGTGTGTCTATAGAAGATGTACTGGGCAGCATCCCTGTTGATGTGAATTTGTTTTCCACCAAGCTTTGACAGTACACAGAGCAACTACTGCAACTAACAATATTCTGGCCATTCCTGACACACCTCACTTCTGACACCACTTCTCCTAACTTCTACTTATGTACCCCCTCTACAAGAAGGATTTAGTAGCTTCAGATGGTTTCAAGCTCTTGGTCATGGCTTGATTTTGCAAGTGAAACTATAAAGGAAGAATGAAAGAGAATGCTACCAAAAATTAGAACTACGGGTGATTAAACGTGAAAAATCAAAAACAGTAACTCTAATACCAGTAATATCTCTCTACAGTGAAATGCATTTCTTGCATTATGTCCCAAAGGAAAATCACCATTTAGAATATTCAAAGTAGTTAAAACAATAACCAGAAAAAATTATCTTTTCAACTTTCTCAGCTAATGGGAAAAGAAAAAAAAAAATGAGATCCTCATCAAGCACATAATCATACCTTTTCCCACATTCAAATATCTGCTTGGTTTAGAAGTCTGATTTGACACATTTGAAATGTTATTGATAAAGAAGCTTGTAACAAACATCTGTGTTAACCCACTACAATTCCCCTGAGGAATCTCAAGGAGAAGGAAGGACTGATAGCATTGCTTGCTAACGGGAAGCAGCCGAATTCTGAAGAAAATTATCCTCTGGTATATCCAAAGTTAATTACCAAGAATATGCTGAATTTCATGCTGAGCATGAGAAGGACTTAAAGTACCACCTACAATTAAGGCAACAAGGAACAAGGAATATGGGGATGCTGAAGACTTAGAAAAGCTGAAAGAGGGTTTGGAGGACTTTGCCAATGACAGCAGTGACCAGGACAGCAAAGACCACTCCAGCAATCCCAGCACCTCTGTCTAGTTGAAAACAAAACACAAGAATTACACAAAGATGAAACTGAAAAAAACAATTCAGAGAAGTAGTGGAACCTTTCCATTATTGAGCAACACGACTGATCTGAGTTAAAAGGTCATGGATTTAGTATGAAACAGGAACATGCTGAAAGGGCCTGATGGAAATACAATACTGAACTTCTCCTCCACTCTTTTCTCACCTACAGTGATCAAAGAGCTGTACTGCTGTTCTGGCAGACAGAATATTCAAAAAGTACAGAATTGCAGAAGATATTTGATAGCTGTGATGATTCAGAAGAATTTGACCACCCAACGATCTTAATTGGCTTAAAATAAACTTGGTTTTAACATTTTTTCAAAAGTCACAAACAGGATAGGTACTGGAAAAGGAAGCAATTTATTGAGAGTACATGGTACCTTATGGACTGAGGTCACCTTTTATACTGGGGACTTTTAAGTCAGAAGCTGAATTACTTGTTCTGAAAGTGTTTTCATTATCATGGGTTTGGTCTAGGGATGATGTAATGTTAATGGACAGAGGAGCTGCCAACAAACATGAACTGTATTTACAGACTTGGCAATGACACACAATATCCTGAATGCGTGGCCCCAACCTCAAATGCTGTAAGACATTGCTCAAGTAACAGCACAGATAAGAAGGCACAGTTTTTCTGACAGAGAAACTGTAATGAAGAGCTGCAGGTAAAGTTTCCTGGCATTGCATTCATTTGGCAGTCCTTCTGATAAAATCCAATTAAATGCTTGTATTGAATTGTTCTCTCCTCGTTTTTCTTGTGCAGTGCCAATAGCCTTTGATCCAAACCTCCCCTAGCAAGACCCACTTTCTCCAGGGAATATGTGCATGTGGGAGGAATTGAGTTACTTCTCTCCAGTTCACAAATGGAAAGGGCTCTGACTCAGCCTCATGGTAAATAAAAGCAGTGCTTTCTCTACCATAAACAACTCTAATTTAAATAAGCGGGCTATCCTCCCCAGGAGACTTACCAGTTCAGAAATGACACACTACCATTCTGCTCCACCTTAATCCAGAAAAAAAGCTTTTATAAAAATTTGGACTGCTGAACTTTTACTTCAGTAGAGAAGTCCCTTGGGATAGGGGTGTAATCTGATTGAGATGATTAAGGTATCTAAAGAGGCAGGATCATCAAAAGAGAAATAACATCCCTTATATTTATTTTAAAAACTAAACAATGACTTGAAAGTAGAACTAGCCAGGGTGAAGTGTAGGCAATGTCAAGTGTAGAGTGGTTTGTATACTTATAAAAATAGTCTGCAACACCCCTGGTCACTGAGTAGATCTGTGAAATTTGGAAGAAAAAATGTTCTCTTTGTAGATGGGGAAAACATCTGGAGCATAAAGATGCCATGTCTCTGAAAGGTCCTGCATTACTGGAGCCCATTACAGAATTAAACTCCAAATCTTAACCACTTGATTAACCTCCTATTTGTAAGAAAAGAATACAGTTATCTTCCAATGTGCCAGCTCTAGAAAAACAATATAAAGAATAGTTTTTTCTCTCCCTTTTTTAAAGCTGGGTATGTTACAATCCTAGTGTCTTGCCCTGACTGCTGGATATATGGCTTTTATAGTATTGCTTTCACACTCATGTGTGGATGCAAATTTTGACCTCTTAAGGTACTGTAATTTTTTGACAATATGTAATAGAAGTATGAATTGGTCTTTATCTCATAACTACAACATTTTCATACAACCACAAAGAAAAATCAACATTTAAGAATTGCAGCTTATGACTACAGACCACACAAGAAACACATGGACAGCAGTTCCTCATCAGAAACTCAGGGGAAGAAAAGGCTGTGTGTGTCTGGGCAGGGAGGAAGAGAGAGAGGAAATAAGTCATAATAAAAATATTATCAAAAGCTTGATTAAATCGATACTATAGCTAACAAATCTAAACCAAAAATATACAAGTTCTACACAGTCATCATGACCAGAGAAAAGGTTTCCTAACTGTTATACTCATAGAGGCAAACATTTTCTAAAAAGGAAACTATTTTTCTGAGTTCCTTCCAGTTTGGACTCTTCAGAAATAGTTAGGGAGGAGTAGTGTCTCTCAGGAATTCCCAAAACAAAAAGGAAATAACACTCCTGCAAAAGAAAATCTAGCAAAGATTAAGTACAAGTTCTCTCCAATATCCCTCAGAGGAAAGAAAAGTCTAACAAAAAAAAAAAAAGAACAGTCAGAAACAAGCTTTGAGTGATTACAATACCTTTGGGAAAAACTCCTGTAGCGCTTTTATCACTAATGCACTACAGGGCAAGAGATAAGTATGGCATGGCCACACCACACTGAATGTAACAAAACTTTTTATGCAGAATTGCTGCTAATTCTACACATGGGATCACAGCTACACTTCTAAATATGAGAGCATGTGGTCCTGTCTGTGATAAACTGAAGTTTGGTTGCTTTCATCACATCTGGGCACAGCTAAGACTCCATTAAATTGACAGCAGTACCAAACATACCAGTGTGGTGCTACAGCTGAAAGGATGAATGCAGTCCTTGAATGTGTGAGCTGGGAAATACAGAATACCCACAGGGAAAATGTTACCTTGCCTCTACAGCATTAGTAGGTTTCCAACAGAACATGGTGGTTGAATGGATGGAAGCATGTATGCTTAAGGCTTTACATTTTGGAAATAGCATTTAAAAATCTGTGAGGACAAAGAAGATTACCCAAGAATTTCAGACATAGAAAACCCCCACTTTAGTGAGAGACTCAGAACAGCACTTTGAAACCAGACAAAGGCTTACTCTGTCTCCACGCTGCACACCGGCTCCCAAGCAA